ATGGATTGAAACAAATATCTATCCCAAGGCAACTTGGAAGGTCAGCAGGAAAGGTCTGTTGCCTCAGGGTGAGAGACAAGGGCAGTCCAATGCAGACCAGGACCCAGCAAATCCAGAGCAGGCCTCCAGATGACTGAATCACTGGCAGCAGTGGCTGTTTCCAAACCTCTCAGCCCACAGAAGCCACAGACAACTTAGAAAGCCAGCAGGAAAGGTCTGTCAAAGGATGCTCTTAGCAAAACCTGGAAACACTTGCATGGGCTGATGCAAATTGAAATGTACTGTGTACAAAGGAACGGCAGTATTGTAAGATGATTAGCTGTGAATGACTTGGCTATTCTCAGCATCACAATGATCTAAAACATCTCTGAAGGACTTATGATGAAAAATGCTATCCATCCCCAAAGAACTGATTATGTCTGAATACAGATTGAAGCATACTCTTTTTTTTACTTTCTTTATTTTTCTCGTGTTTTTTTTTTTTTGGTCTGTATTTTCTTTCACGACATGGCTATTATAGATATGTTTTGCATGACTACATGTATAACCTATATTGAACTACTTGCTTTCTCAGTGAGGGAGTTGGAGAGGCAGGAAAAGGGATAATTTGGAACTCAAAGTTTTAAAAATAAATGTTAGAAATTGTTTTTACATGTAACCGGGAAAAACAAAACACTAAATAAAAAAGGTCAGAACAAAAATACTTTTAAATTGACAGATATCTTGATATTCACAGACATCCCCACCCACCCATACACATACACACACACACACACACACACACACACACACACACACACACACTTCTGAGTCTTTGCACAGGTGATCTTCATGTCTGGAATGCTCTGTCTCTTCTCACTTCTACCTATGTAAAAATCCGTATGTTCCTTTGAGGGTTCTCAGGCACCACTTTCTACATCAGGCCTTTTCTGATCCTTCAAGTTGTCAATGTCTCCCTCTCAAGAAATTATTTTATATACTGTTAAATTCTGTTTTCTACGTACTTATAATTTCCCCAGAAGAATGCCAGCTCCTTGAGGTTAGCTTTGTATCCCTAGCTCTTAGTAAGGGGCTCTCAACACACTACAAGAGCTTACAAATGCTTATGAAATTGAATTCTAAAGTATTAATATCCTCTAATACCAATTGCTTAATGAACTGAGTGAGGAACTGAGAGAGGAGTAGCTTCTATTTCCTCTGCCACTCTTGTTTGGCAGGGTCTAATTTGTGTAAACTTATCTTATTTTTTTCTCCAAAGCCTCATTTGGATGGGAACTGCCAGATGACATCTGACCTCAGGCTTGGCCTCCGTGATAATTTCTAATTATGATTCCTCTGGGCCTCCCTCCCACGAATTAGGCCATCAGAGGAAAATCCCTTGGCTTCCTCAGACCAAAGTCTGCATTGACAGTAGAATGATGGCGACCTACTTGAACCCCTAATGAAATGATAAAAAGTTGGGGGGGGTCGGGAGGGGCCAAGACACAAAACATCAGCTCCAAAGAGAATCAAGGCCTCCCAGATTTCCTTTGGCTAACAATCACCATGATCCCCTAACTTCTGCACATAGAAAGCAATGGTTATAGTTGGTGCCTCCCCTGAAGCAGAGAACCAGGACTGAGCAATATTAATAAAGAAAGCAAATTTATCATCTGGCTTTGCAATTGTCAGACTACCATTTATTCCAACCACAGAGGGCATCTGTCCTGTCTCTGGCTATGTTAACTACCTCCAAATAGCATCAAGTCATAGCAGTGTTAAGACTGAAGAAAAAAATATTCCCAAACTGGCAGTGATTTCCTCTTTTATGACTCAGTTCAAGGGTCCACAATCAATAACCAAAATCATTATTAAAAAATTGCCAACCTGTATACGGGATTTTAAGGTTTGCAGTGTTCTTTATATATCATAATAGCAACATAGATCCAAATGGCCAAATTTTTATCTCAGTAGAGTTCTGGACTTCAAGTCAGATGCAACTGGGTTTCAATCCTTCCACAAATAGTTGCCAGCTCTGTGACCCTAACCAAGGCAATTAACCTTTCTGGGCTTCAGTTTCCTCCTATGTAAGCAGAATGGGGTTTACTCAATAACCTCATTTTTCTCATGTATAAATAAAGGGGATAGACTTAATGACCTCTAACCCTCCTTCTGGCTCAGAATCCATGAGTCAATGTCCTCATTTGATCCTACTGTAAAGTCACTGTGCGCTATGGATGCTAGCTTCTTAGGCACTGTTAAAACTCCCTTTCTAGCTGCTTTTAAGTTTAGTTCCTTAACACAGAAGATTTCCCTTTTCCCTTTCACCTCCCCCTCCTTGAATTCTTCGTAGCCTTTCTAATACACTGCCAATTTATCCTATTCCTCATTTTAAATATGGAAGAACAACAGTCGGGAACAGAGTCAAAAACAGGGATTTTAGCTTCTAGAGCAAAGGGGAGAACAAGGTCCATACAGCAAGAGAATTGGATAAAGGAGACCTAGGTGGAGACTTCAATGGATGTTTGTTTCACCCAAGGACATGAGCATGTTACTTTAAATTTTGGCTTCCTGAGATAAAGCCCTGGTCATATAACCCTAGCTATGTATCTGGTTAGGTTCACTTCTTAAAGGTTATCCATTCCTCATCCAGTCTGTATTTACAGTACCATGAATCCTTCCACTAATCATCAGGAACTAGGCTGTATTTGATTCACCATTGCATAGCAAATGGTATGATAAATAGCATGACATAATAAACTGAATTTGAACTTTTCTTTTAAAATTAACTAGCCAGGTAACATGAGCAAATCATATAAACTGTCTCATCCTCAGTTGCTTCCTCTCTGAAATGGGGATATCAAGAACTAGAGTGCTTACCAAGTTATTGGTAAGTTAGTGTGAGGCTCAAATGAAATAATGCATGTAGAATATTTTGCAAATGATAAAATACTTTCCCAGTTAATCAACCAATACCTATTAAAGCACTTACTATGTATCAGATGCTATGAGAAAAAATGTCAGCTATTACAATTATGAATAGTAATTAATAATAAATATGGAATGTCAATTCTCTCCACTTCTCCCCACCACTTATTAGAATCAATCACAGAGAAGGAAAGGACTTCAGAGGTTGCCTCAAACAGTATTCCCCCTGGCAATATCCCTTCCAAGTAATTAGCTGAGCTCTGTTTGCAGACCTCCAACAAGAGGGGAACTCACCACTTCCAAAGTTCCTTCTAGCTATTCAAACAGGAACCAAACTTTCTTAAGGTTGGGGGAGTGGGTGGAGGGAAGAGGTAGTGCAGAAACTAATTAAGGCCCTGTCCCAACATGATTTCAAGCTTAGCTCTACTGAGATATAAATTTGACCATTTGGAGTGCTTTTGGGAATAAAAAATCAGAACGCTGCAGGACCAGACTCCGCATTAAAGGAAACCCCCAGAGAGTCTCCTTCTGCCTCTTAGACTGCTTAGCTTCTTTCAAAGCCTAGCTAAAATGCCACCTGCAAATAAAGGCTTTCCTAATCCCCCCTCCCAGTAATTCTCTTTGACTTTGAAATTAGTTTGTAAATATTTTGCTTTTAAATACAAAATACAAATAAAAAGAAGCAGCAGGGCATAGTGTATAGAGAATAACACTTCAAGTCAGGAAGACCTGGGTTCAAATCCCTCTTCTGACACAAACTGGTTGTATGTGTGAGGGCCTTAACATTTCACTGCGCCAGGTTAGTATGTAAGACTAGAAATGCAGGTAATGGGTAAATGGGGTGAAGGGAGTTCCTTCAACCAACGTAATCTTAAGCCCAGTCCAGAACCAAATAATGTATATGTCATATGTTGTTGTTCAGTTGTTTCAGTCACGTCTGACTCTTCGCAGCTCTTGGCAAGGACAGTGGAGCTGTTTGCCATTTCCTTCTCTGGCTCATTATACAGATGAAGAAACTGAGGTAAAACAGGGTTAAGTGACTTGCCCGGGGTCACACAGCCAGTAAGTATCTGAGGCCAGATTTGAACTCAGGAAGATAAGTCTTCCCAATTCTAAGCCAGTGCTCTAACCACTGCATCACCTTGCTGCCACATCTGCTCAGTCAAATACAAATGTCTAAAAGGCAGAGACAGTTTTATTTTTGTCTTTATACTCCCAGTGTGTGGGAGAAGTACTATCCAGACATCACTCTCAGATTGTTGGCTGGAGAGTAGATGTTGACCTATATTGGCAGAGGCCATATGAGAGTGTCATCCTTGAGATCACAGTTCAAAACCCACAATATTACAATTTAATATGTCTGTATAGATGCATCTGTGTGTATATGTACACACAGATACATATCTGTATACTATATCTTTTACATATGGACATGTACCCTTCATCTACACATAGTAGATATAAGATACATATCCTATAGGTACATACATATGCAACAAAGGAAGGCATATGGTAGGCATTTATAAATGCTTGGCAAATTGAATTGGGTCTAGAAAGTATATTAATGGAAACAGGTTTTTTCTTAAGTGTTCCCAACTCTAACTGTACACATATAGACACATGTGCACATGTATACATATATAACGTATGTAGATACATGAGTATGTGTACACATATAACATGCATGTGTGTACATGTATGCATGCATGTGCATGTGTATGTCTTATGTGTATTCTATATCTACATACAATACATAGAAGATACATATTTATATGCATATTTATACACATATAGAATATATATTTTATGTGTACATTATATGCACAACTAGCACGGTATATTAGATGTTTATAAAAGTTTTTTAAATTGGATTTAGAGAGCATTATCAGTGGAAACATGTCTGCCCTTAAATGTCCCCAACTCTAATTAGCTTAACAGGAAAATTATGGTCCATTTTATGTCATAAATGTAGTTACAATCTCACTGAATGACTTCGATGGTTCATTTATTCTAGGAAAATGCATGCACCAGCAATAAGGCAAATAAAAACCAAAAAAATTGAAAAAATAAAAGAGAAAAATAGATAAACTCACCTTGAAAATCAAGTCCTTTTTCCCATAACGCAGCTCCTTCAATTGGGCTTGGATCTTTTTGGACTGCAAGAGCAGAATAATACATTGGCTTGTTAAATCATATATATTTTAGAACACACAGACAAAAATACAATCACCTCAAACAATAGTTTTCCAGTAAATGAGATGCCAAAATCAAACTAAGTTAAAAAAAAAAAGTTGAGGTCAGATTTGGGTAGGGACAATCATATAACCTGACAAGGAGAGAGCTCTCTCAGATGAATTAAAAATGGACAGAAACACTATTTCAGGTGCAATGGTAGAATCCCCAGAGATACAGCACAGCTCAAATGCCACCTCCTCCTAGTACCTTTCCTTAGTCCCTTTGCTTATAATACTCTCTCCCTTTTGAAATAACTTTCCATTGTGTTTCTAATTTATATTTATTTACTTATGTACCTGTTTCGTGTCTCCAGGAACAGCTAAACTCCTCCAGGGAAAGGATCTCTCTCTCTCTCTCTCTCTCTCTCTCTCTTCTCTCTCTCTCTCTCTCTCTCTCTCTCTCTTCTCTTTCTCTCTCTTTTTCTCTCTCTCTCTCATTTGTTGGTTGAATTGAATAATTATAGGACTTCCATTATTTTTCTATGCTATGTATAACTAAGTCTGATTTAGATCCATACTCTTAAGAAGGTTGATTGATATCTTGCTTTAAATTTTTTTTTTTAGGTGACAAAATTTAAAGTAAACATTTACAATTTTTAAAAATAGCTGTTTGGCATTCTGTATGTGTGTATGTGTGCATATAACACATTTATATAGCACTTACTATATGCCAACACTTTACAATTTTTATCTTGATTGATCGTCACAACAACACTGGGAGATAGGTGCAATTATTACCCCCATTTTACAGATGAGGAAACTGAGGCAGTCAGAGACAAAGTGACTTGCTCAGAGTCACACACAGCTAGTAAGTATCTGAGATCACATTGGAACTGGGTACTTCCTGACTCCAGTCCAAGCATTATATCCACTACAGTACCTAACCAATATTACCTATGAGAAGGCACTCCATGGAGGTAAATTGGGAAGTTTTTATCACTGGAAGATGCTGAATTATAGAAGGTTTAAAGACAGTTAGCTAAAAAGCCTCTGCAAGAGACTAAGCAATTTAATCAGGAAATTACATCAGAAGGGATGATTGGCCATCTCTTGAGTCAAGGTGATTATGGAATATATATACATGTACGTGAATGTGAATGAATAATGCAAAAGTGAAGAAATTGAGGGAAAAACCCATTAATTAATGCATAGTTGATTTCATAATTATATTAATGCACAATTGATTTAAGTGAAGATAAGAAAATTGTGTAATTCAATACCTTAATTCCCTGGCAGCTGCATAATTTTATGGGCAAGAAATGGCAGTTGATAGAGAAGCCTGAACTTTTAGCCAGAAAGACCTGAGTTCAAATTACACAGTAGATGCTTATAATCTCTATGACTTTGTATAGGTAATTTCATCTCTCTGGGAGTATGTTACATCATCAGTAAAATTACAGAGCTAGGTCAGATGTTCTCCAAGGCTCCTTATTTTTCTAAACCAAGCACTCCCAAATCCTAGAATGCTGATTAATTTAAGAAGTCCACTGACTTCTCCTAAATAGTAGATGAGTCTACAATAGCTTAAATTATCAACTCATAAGACAAAGCGATCTGTCTTGTACGAGTGATAGTACCTACCACAGGGAGCTCACGAAGATAAAAAGAGATGTTTGTTGAAATGTAGAAAGCACTATATAAATGTGCCTTGTTGCTATTACTATGGGGGAGGGGGCAGAAGGGTAGAGTTATAGTCAGACTCTGGAAATCTGCTACCTGTGTGACCCAAGGTGTCTGCTTGGTACAATGGAAAGACCATTTAGTCTGTAGTGGACTTTGAATCCAGGTGCTCTAGTTAGCTCCTGGATTGAAATCCCACTTTTGATATTTTACTATCTATGCAAACTTAGGTAAGACACTCAAGTTCCATGGATCTCAGTTTCTTCACCTGTAAAATGATCACTGAACTAAAGGGTCTCTTTAGTTCAATTAGTTCAGGAATCTTGAGGTCCTTTCCGTTTATACATCAGTGTCTATATAACAGGCTATTCCTATGTCACTTCTCTCTGATCCTCAGCTTTCTAATCTGTGACTCAATGACATCCTTTCTAGCTCTAAAACTCTATGATCCCGAGATACTAAAAACAATGCAATTTGCAAAGGTTACGGATGTATAGCAATTACTTTGCAATTATTTCATGGGATAAAAGATGCCAATAGAGTATAAAACAGAAGGCACCATAGCTGATTTACTACTCAGAGGCTTAGGCATCATGAAATAGAGTATCCCATGTGTTTTCAAAACTATGAATTATGATGCACCAGCAGATTCTCTAAAACCCAGGAAAGAACAGAGGCCCTAGGCACACTGATGACTATTTGGAATAAGTCAATTCAGTTCTATATCTTAGAAAGCTAGTAATTGCTGTTTCAAACAAATTAGTTAAAATGCTTTGCAATTTCCATGAGCACGATTTTTCTATTTTCCTTGAAGTAGCTGGCAAATATGAAAGCAAGATATGATAGATAACAAAGCCAGAAACCCATATTGCATGTGCCTGGCTGAATGGTGGCCTTTCCCAGTGAATGGGTACAGATACACAACTATATATGCACTCAGATTTAAAGATCCTTCTACAGAAAGTCCTATTCCTCTCTTTTTACAAGACCAAATGAGAACTCCAGAGAAACTACTTGCAAGTGAGTGTTCAGAGGGTGGTATGAGACAGAATGCTTTATTGTTACATTAACTTTATCTCTGGGTCAATCCTGGTCTGCATGTTTATTACAACATCAACCCTAGTGCTTTCAACAACCATGCTTGTCATCCGTTGCCAGTTCAAGAAAGACGCTTTGCAATGTCTCCCTGCTGTTTCAATATGCTGCTCAGGATTCCTTTGGCGCCAGCACAGCCTCTTAGGTAAACATGAATTTCTGTAGTTTCCACTTGGCTTGAAAATGTATACACTAGCACCTTATGTATTCAATATCATTGGGGAAATGAGATGTTGCGCAGAAATGAATTTTCTAATGAAAACCTATCAATTTAAGTGCCGAAATGTTGTTTACTTATGAGAAGCACTGTGACAAGTTGATTAAAGTACTACCTAGAATTGGAAGACTTGGGTTCAAATTCTACTTTGGATACTTATTATCTTTGTGACCTCTCAGTTTCAGTTTTCTCATTTTAAAATATGGATTATAGTAACAGCATTGTTGCGAGGAACAAATATTGCAAGTATAAAATGCTTTGTAAACCTTAAAGTATTGTATATAAATATTAGCTATTATTGTTATTAAACTCATTAGCCAATGAAAATAGCTAATAGTATTATTATTATGAAATATAGCATGGCATTGTAGATATAGCAATGGACTTGGAATCAGGAAGAACTGGGTTCAAATCTCGACACAGACACTTACTAGCTGCATGATCCTGAGTAAGAAATGTCAACTCTTTGAGCCACTAGCTCAATTTCCTCATACAAACAAAGGGGATTACAAATACTTGTATCACATGTTTGCTCTGATGAACAAATGGGAAAATGCACATGAAGGCTATGGAAACTAAATCAAATGCTTGTAGTTGTTAGAATCTTATTCTTCTATTTTTCAAAAGAATTCAGATAGAAAAAGTCCTGGGACAAGCTACTATTCTGGTGTTCTATGTTCCATATATTACTGCACAAGAAAACAACTGCTTTCTCTACCTTCATAAAAGTATTGAGAAGTAGTTTATTATTATTACGTGTTGTTTGTCACTCATTTCAGTAATGTCAGATATTTCGTGACCCAATTTGGGATTTTCTTGGCAAAGATATTAGAGTGGTTTTCCATCCTTCTCTAGTTTATTTTACAGATGAGGAAACTGAGGCAACAGAGTTAAATAATTTGCCCAGAGTCATACAAGTAGTAAGAATCTGAGGCCAGATTTGAACTCAGATCTTCCTGATTCTAGGTCCAATGCCCTATCCACTGTACCACCTAGATACACTATGCTTATTATTATGTTAACTATTATTATCATTTTTGACTGAAACCTGGCCAAAATGATGCACACATATTAAATACTGAGGATATTATGCATCACTCAACCTTTGCCTGATAAGTCATGTGGAGCATCATCATAGGCATAGACTACTATGCCATCTTGGGCCATTGAGTTGTTATTCAGTCATTTTCAGTCACATCTGACTCTTCATGATCTCATTTGAGATTTTCTTGGCAAAGATATTGGAGTGGTTTGCCATTTCTTTCACTAGCTCAATTTACACATGAGAAAAACTGAGGCAAATAGAGTGAAGTGACTCTCCAGGGTCACCCAAGTAGTAAGTGTCTGAAGCCAGATTTGAACTGAGGAAGATGTGTCTTCCTGATTCTGGGCCCGGTACTCTATCCACTATGCCCTCTACCTGCCCCACTGGGATATACTTGTCTCTACATAGAATGGATACATAAATTTTGTGTGTGTGTGTGTGTGTGTGTGTGTGTGTGTGTGTATTTGTGTAATCTTTCTGTCAATTTGGCAAATACATTTTCATTCTTCTTCCAGTTTTCAGGCTATGATTTCTTACCATTCCAAACTTTATAATTTGATGCTTACATTTTTCTAAGGGGCTCTGATACGACACTGTTGATCTTGTGGAAACTGCATTTTAAATAAGAATTAGTAGGTTCTGAGAACTGAAAGGCAGCCTTTCTCAATGAAGTTTATCATCTTTGAAGTATCATTTTTATGACGACCATTTTGGCTTCCCAGAGGCCTTTGATGTTATGCCTTCTTTCAGATCCTCACCTGCATTTTGGATAGCTGTGCTGGATAGGTAAGTTATTACCCTGTTAGAATTTGTATATGAATTCTAAGTGTATTCAAATTCAGCATTAGATTCTCATGTTACATTTTGTAATATACTCATAAGAGAGAGAAAGACAAAGAGAGACAGAGACATAGAGAAAGCCAGAGAGACAGAGATATGGAGAAT